CTTTGTTTAGCCTCTGTGTGGGGCATTTAATGAGTATATCTTGTACAATCTTGGTTTATGTCCTCTCTGGGGCATTTGATGAGGATATCTATATAATTTTGGTTTATCACCGGTGGGTTATTTCACTAGGGTATCTTGTGTTGTTTTGGTTTATTCCTTCTTTGTGGCTATTAAGTAAAGATGTATTTTATTGGTTTATTCTCCTCTCTCTCTCTCTCTCTCTCTCTCTCTCTCTCTCTCTCTCTCTCTCTCTCTCTCTCTCTCTCTCCCTCCCTGAATGAAGGCATATTGTATGAATGGCACTACACCATTTTTCTTCAGATTATCATAATTATTATTCTTGTCTGTCAGGGATTCATGCTAATTGAAATCTACGTCTCTTTCCTTTCTTGAGTACACTGTGCCTTGATGCGGGAGAAAGGGCTCTTGATGTGAGGAATTAGAGCTACCCTCTTCCTCGGATCAAATCTGAGTTTTTCCTATTCCCCAGACGCTGTGTGGTCCTTAGGGTTTAACGCTTCCCTATGGAAATTAAAATAATAATAATGATGGAGGTACACACTCCGTTTTCCATATTTTTGGTAATGTTCTTCTTGCTGGTAACAAGTTGAAGATTTGTTAGTGATTTACCTGTTGCTGATCCCTGGGGGTCATGGTCCTGCATCATGGTCCCAGACCCGTTCTGGTTGATTAACTGATCAGTCAAGCTTTTGGTGCTAGCAGCACGTAGACTAACGTATGCACTACAGCCCTCTGATCTTGAGATAACCAGGTGTGTGTGTGTTTGTACTAATATGTGAACACTCATATATGTGGTTGCAGAGGTCGAGTCACAGCTCCTGTCCCCACCTCTTCTCTGTGTATGCGTTCGCTTAATTGTAGTCACCAATTTGGGGTTGCGAAAGTAGCGTTTCGGCTCTGGCTTCGCTTTCTAACCTGGTCTGTTGAACTCTGTCATTTTTATTCTTGAAACTGTGTATGAAATTTCTCTTTAACACTTCCTCGGGCAACTTGTTCCAGTTATTTACGACCCTGAAAATAACACACAGGGAGTATTATCTAACATCCCTGTGACTTCTTTGTTTTGTTAGCTTCCATCTATACCTCCTCACCCTGATGCCTCTCATGTCACTCAGCCTCTGTTCTGTCACATTCTCTTCTTGTAGTGATCACGTTTCTCCGATTGTTCTTGCTTCGAAGGTCGTCTGGGTCAGCCCCTTTGATCTCTTTGTGTAGTTTATTTAGTTCACTTCCGGGACTTACTTTGTTGCAAACCTTTACACCTCGTGGAGTGGCTGAACGTGAGTGGGCTTTATGGGGCTTTCTTTCACTCTGGTCTATTTTCCGCGTAGCCTTTATCTTCATTAAATTCCATCATATATATATATATATATATATATATATATATTATATATATATATATATATATATATATATATATATATATATATTATCCCGTGTGTTCATTTTATCTAAATCCTCTCGTAAATTTTTACAGTCATTTTTATTTCCTACTTTGCATAATGTGCTTTGATATCATCCACAAACATGTTAATAGTATCTATTCATTCTGGTGTTTGTGCGCTTTTGTATACGTGCTTGTAAAGTGTATGTATATAAACACTAATCTCTGGCCGAAGGAGACTCGAACCTAGGATTGAAACAAGGTACAGAGTACTTTACCCACCGTCCCACACTGGACAATACTTTGGCGCCCATCCACGCTAGGCGTTTGGTCCAAAGCAGCCAGCATCCAAGGAGGTACATTTTGAGTTTTTCCTCTCACCCCCGCATGCATATGCAACAGACCTAGTGTCTAATCGACTTGTGCCTGGGACAAAATGGTAACTCACACACACACACACACATAGAGTAGTAAGGCAGTGGAATAGCCTAGAAAATGACGTAGTGGAGGCAAGAACCATACACAGTTTTAAGACGAGGTTTGATAAAGCTCATGGAGCGGGGAGAGAGAGGGCCCAGTAGCAACCGGTGAAGAGGCGGGGCCAGGAGCTAAGACTCGACCCCTGCAACCACAAATAGGTGAGTACAAATAGGTGAGTACACACACACACACACACACACACACACACACACACACACACACACACACACATATTTATACATATACATACACGTGTATGATATTTTTATGTGATGGGTTTACAGGTGTTTTAATCAGGAGTTAACAAATCTAGCAAGAAAACATAGGTGAGAGGCACTATGAGATACTGACCGTAAATGTAAGAGCAACAAAACAAACAATTCACTTAAGCCATCCACATTATAATAATCGTAAATCATTTTTTTCTGAAGGTACATTGTGCGGGAAGGATTTGTAATTACAATGTTTATGTATATGCCTTGTGACGAGGACAGCAAGGAACACAACAAGAATATTTATATCCAGCCACTGAACGGCAACACGCTAGTGTTTAGGAAGAGAGATACGTGCCTCGTAAATCGATATTATGACACTTGGAAATAATGTTCTGGACACACTTGTATTTATCGCTTGTATTTTAAAGGTTTATTCTCAGCTTGCAGACATAAATTTCTCTCTCTCTCTCTCTCTCTCTCTCTCTCTCTCTCTCTCTCTCTCTCTCTCTCTCTCTCTCTTCTCTTTCTCTCTTCTCTTTCTCTTTCTCTCTCTTTCTCTTTCTCTTTCTCTTTCTCTTTCTCTTTCTCTTTCTCTCTCTCTTTCTCTTTCTCTTTCTCTCTCTCTCTCTCTCTGAAACAAACCATACCCCCGGCCGGGATTGAACCCGCGGTCATAGAGTCTCTAAACTCCAGCCCGTCGCGTTAGCCACTAGACCAGCTAGCCACAATAAGATTCATCCAACTAGGTATATTTCTACACCATAGGAAGGTTAGCACAGGCACCACTGTGACCACAAATGCAAGTTTTTACAGACGAATCTCCAGCTAGCGTGGCCGTGACGAACTCTAGCTCAAGTCCCTTCACTGCCGTCAACATAACTCACGAAATCGTAATGACACGATTGCAAACCTTCCTATGGTGTAGAAATATACCCAGTTGGACGAATCTTATTGTGGCTAGCTGGTCCAGTGGCTAACGCGACGGTCTGGAGTTTTGAGACTCTCTGACCGCGGGTTCAAATCCCGCCCGTGGTATGGTTTGTTTGCAATCGTGTCATTACAATTTCGTGAGTCATGTTTTGAAACTCGCTGGTGATAATTAAAAATAACTAAATTATTATATTACTATTGCTTTCACTTACAAATGTATTAGTACTTATTGAAATGTTGAATTACGCTGTCTTCATTGAGAGGATTTTAGCGCTCTGTGACGCTTGTGGGTTTAGCGCTTAGTTTTTCTTGTAATAATATTGATAGGATTGACGGAGGAATTTATTGTCCGTATTGAGTGTGTACGCGTCTGTGTCTGCAGTGGTCGAATCTCTGCTTCTCACCCTCGCCTTTCTTCTCCCCGCTACTGTGTGTGTGTGGGGGGGGAGGGGGTTGAGAGAGTAAGTTTATTCAAGTATACACAAATACAGTTATATAGATTATCATACATAACAGCATATGTGTAGAGAACCTAAGATAACCCAAAAACCTCAAAGTGACTCATCTCCATCGGGGTCCTTTTAATACCTTATTATTTTACTATAAAGGAGATAATACTAGGAATAAAGTGAGTTATTTATATTTACATGTGTGTTAGCTAAAAAATAAAAATCATTCTTCTCCCTTTTTGTCGCTATATTCATTAGGTACCTTTTGGCTCTCTTCTTAACTGGTTCATGCTGTGACTGGCTTTGACATGTGCAAGCAATCTGTTCCATTCCTTTATTGCTGTACAATGAAAGGTTTATAGATGAATGGTTCAGAGAACCGACATGTTGATAAATTAGACACATGTGCAACTCTTGGGTATCTTTATTGAGGAAACGTTTCGCCACACAGTGGCTTCATCAGTCCATACGTAGGAGAAACTTGAAGAACAGGAGGAGAATGAGGTAATCAGTCCCTCAACCTTGAGTCGATGTGTTCAGTCCATCAATCTTGAATAGAATACGGCATATCAGCGGAGAAGCAGCTTATAAACCGTATGGCAGGAGAGGTCCTACGTATGGACTGATGAAGCCACTGTGTGGCGAAACGTTTCCTCAATAAAGATACCCAAGAGTTGCATATGTGTCTAATTTATCCACAATAAAAGGTGTTTGAAGCCAGGCCACTGACTGTGGGTACTACAAAGTTGTGTACTCTCCCCCTAGTAGTATGATTGCTTTGGTTCCCAACCTTTACAAAATTGGCAGCAAGATAATCTGGACACTGAGCAATTTTATAAACTTGATTTAACTTCAATTGTTTTACTCTGTCTTCAACATTCAGCATATCCAATTGTTGTAATTCACCCTGGCCCACATGCTCTCTTGGTCCCAGGTCCAGGATGAAATCTTACTATTTTGTTCTGGGTGATTTGCAGTCTGTCAATTTTTTTTTTTTTTTTTTGTCAAGGCAGAGTACCATGAAGAGCAAGCGTAGTTCATATGACATTGTATAAGTGCTATACAAAGGATCCTGCGAGATAGACACTGTGCATGTCTGTAGAGGAACTTCAGTCTGGCATTCGCTTTCTTTACTACACTGTTTCCTATAAGTTCTCCTGACATGCATGGGTCAAAGGGGATTCCTAGATATTTTACTGAGGGAACTGAAGTGACGGGTTCCCCATTACACCGGACATTAAAATTATTTACCCTTCTCAGTTTGTTTCGTGCCAAAGAGTATGGCTTCGGTTTTCCCGAGGTGTAAGGGTAGTTTGTTGTCTACTAACCATATGCTGCAGGACTCCAGTTAAAGTGTTGTTATATTAACTATATCTTGTGGATCTTTACTTAACACTAACAGAGCACTGTCATCCGCATACAGTAGGAGTTTGCACTTGACACTGATGGACATGTCGTTTACATAACATAGGAAGAGAGAGAGGAGTGATGGTAGAGCTTATTAAGGTGTGTTTATTACAGGTCTCTGCGTGAGGAGGTGCGAGCAGTGGTGGGCAGCAACACCAACATTATTCCCTCTACCCTCCTGCCTCGCATCCTAGCCAACATGGCTCTCTTTCCCTCCAAGGCCCAAGGTCAGTCACCTCACTACGTTGTTGTTGTCGTCTTCAAGATCAATCACCTCTCTACCCTCTTAGTCTTCAAGGTCACTCACCTTACTACGTTGTTGTCTTCAAGGTCAGTCACTACGTTGTTGTCTTCAAGGTCAGTCACCAAAGTTGTTCTTGTTGTAATTAAGGGCTAACGTCCTGTGTTCCTTCACGATTCAAGATCGTAGTACTCTTAGTGTGTTTCTTCAAGGTTTAGCGCTTAATTGGATTATTATAATCTTGCAGGAGTCAAGATCGTAGCTCCTTTTTTGTTATGTTTCTTGGGGAATCAAAATTATAGTTCTCTCGGTGGTTCTTTCAAGAGCAGATCATAGTTCTCTTGCCTTAATTCAAGAGTTAAGGGTATAATTGTAGGTCTCGAAGTGTTCCTTCAAGGTTCAGGATTGTAGTTCTCGAAGTGTTTCTTCAGGGTTCAAGGTTGTAGTTCTCCAGGTGTTCCTTCGAGGTTGTAGATCTCGAAATATTCCTTCGAGGCTGTACTTCTTGCAGTTCCCTGAGTATTTCTTTAGGATTGAGAGTTGTAGGTCTCGATGTCTTCATTCAAGGTTCCAGGTTTGAGTTCCCGACGTGTTACTTCAAGGTTATATATATATATATATATATATATATATATATATATATATATATATATATATATATATATATATTATTTTTTTGGGGGGGCAGGGGGACTTCTTCTAAAAGAAAAAGTCGTCTATGTTAATATTGCCGGATCTTTAAAAAGCTCCGTATGACTGTTTTATATATAACTGTGTTTATATATGACAGCATTATATATGACTGTGTTATGTGACTGCATTATATATGACTGTATTATATATCCACATTAAGATTTCAGCACAAAACTAACCTAGCACACCAAATGTGATGTTAATTTTGCACCTTACAAAATCCTCGTCTCCAGTAATTCCTTCCTTTCACAACTCAAACCACCTCAGGGCTGTAAAACCCTTGTAAATAGGCACACAGTGCAGGTTAAAGACTAACCCAAAAGGATTCTTTCAGGTATACAGAAGTAAGATCAGGGACAAGATAGGCCCACTCAAAAGTTCCTCGGGTCAGCTCACTGACAGTGATAAGGAAATGTGTAGAAGTTTTAACACATACTTCCTCTCAGTTTTTACACAGGGGAATACCAGCGATATTCCAGAAATGATAAATTCTGTGGAACAGGACGATAATAAACTGTGCACGATTAGGGTCACAAGTGACATGGTCCTTAGGCAAATAGATAAATTAAAACCTAACAAATCCCCAGGCCCTGATGAACTGTATGCAAGGGTTCTAAAGGAATGTAAAGAGGAGCTTAGCAAACCTTTGTCTAATCTTTTCAACATATCACTACAAACTGGCAATGTGATACCTATTTTCAAAGCAGGTGACAGGTCCTTAGCTTCAAACTATAGACCAATAAGCTTAACCTCCATAGTGGGAAAATTTATGGAATCAATAATTGCCGAGGCAGTTCGTAGCCACCTTGAAAAGCATAAATTAATCAACGAATCTCAGCATGGTTTTACAAAGGGGCGTTCCTGCCTTACGAATTTGTTAACTTTTTTCACTAAGGTATTTGAGGAGGTAGATCATGGTAATGAATATGATATTGTGTACATGGACTTCAGTAAGGCTTTTGACAGGGTCCCACATCAGAGACTATTGAGGAAAATTAAGGCACATGGAATAGGAGGAGAAATTTTTTCCTGGATAGAGGCATGGTTGACAAATAGGCAGCAGAGAGTTTGCATAAATGGGGAGAAATCAGAGTGGGGAAGCGTCACGAGCGGTGTTCCACAGGGGTCAGTGTTGGGCCCCCTGCTGTTCACAATATACATAAACGACATAGATGAGGGCATAAAGAGCGACATCAGCAAGTTTGCCGATGACACCAAAATAGGCCGTCGAATTCATTCTGACGAGGACATTAGAGCACTCCAGGAAGATTTGAGTAGACTGATGCAGTGGTCGGAGAGGTGGCAGATGCAGTTTAATATAGACAAATGCAAAGTTCTAAATGTTGGACAGGACAATAACCATGCCACATATAAACTAAATAATGTAGATCTTAATATTACGGATTGCGAAAAAGATTTAGGAGTTCTGGTTAGCAGTAATCTGAAACCAAGACAACAGTGCATAAGTGTTCGCAATAAAGCTAATAGAATCCTTGGCTTTATATCAAGAAGCATAAATAATAGGAGTCCTCAGGTTGTTCTTCAACTCTATACATCCTTGGTTAGGCCTCATTTAGATTATGCTGCACAGTTTTGGTCACCGTATTACAGAATGGATATAAATGCTCTGGAAAATGTACAAAGGAGGATGACAAAGTTGATCCCATGTATCAGAAACCTTCCCTATGAGGATAGACTAAGGGCCCTGAATCTTCACTCTCTAGAAAGACGTAGAATTAGGGGGGATATGATTGAGGTGTATAAATGGAAGACAGGAATAAATAAAGGGGATGTAAATAGTGTGCTGAAAATATCTAGCCTAGACAGGACTCGCAGCAATGGTTTTAAGTTAGAAAAATTCAGATTCAGGAAGGATGTAGGAAAGTACTGGTTTGGTAATAGAGTTGTGGATGAGTGGAACAAACTCCCAAGTACAGTTATAGAGGCCAGAACGTTGTGTAGCTTTAAAAATAGGTTGGATAAATACATGAGTGGGTGTGGGTGGGTGTGAGTTGGACCTGATTAGCTTGTGCTACCAGGACGGTTGCCGTGTTCCTCCCTTAAGTCAAGGTGACCTGACCTGACTAGGTTGGGTGCATTGGCTTAAGCCGGTAGGAGACTTGGACCTGCCTCGCATGGGCCAGTAGGCCTGCTGCAGTGTTCCTTCGTTCTTATGTTCTTATGTTAAGCCTCAGTTGTGAAGACGTTTCTCCCACAGGGATTGTACCCATTCGTGTGAATTGATACAATTCCCAGTGGACGAAACGTCTCCACAATAAAATGCCATAGCCCATATTGATTACTTTCGTTAGTCTCGTTAGTGGCGCTCTCCTTCCTGATATTGTGCGTCTTATTTATATATTGTCGGTATATTCTACCTTTGTGAGTGGGAATAATGACCGGACTCACCTTTAAATATTCACAAATAAAATATGAGCTAGGACAAAAGTGATTGAAGTAAAAAGATCTTTGAGAGGGCCAACTGTAATGTATTAGAAGCACATCCAAATCCTTCCATTATTTCGATGACCGAGCGCTATATCTCGTCGGAGGTGGCGACTTAGTAAAGTGATTGTAATTACTCTGTAGACGTGGTGTTAGAATACTTTCTCCGTTATTCCCTGACGCAGTTGATAGTCACGCCTTGCTTTATTGTAAGGAGAGTACAACCAGGAGCCAATATCCACACCGATCGCTACTGGTATCTCCTGCCTGAATGAGCGCATTCTCATCCCCCGTCACAATAATCAGCTTACAATCAGTCTTATTTCTACTCAAAAGCTGGGCCGCGCAGATGAAATTTACTCCTTGTTTATTCTTAAGTATCTGGTGCTCTGATGAATACAGTACGATTCTCTCTTCCAAAACTCTCTCTCTCTCTCTCTCTCTCTCTCTCTCTCTCTCTCTCCCTCTCTCTCTCTCTCTCCTCTCTCTCCTCTCTTCTTCTCTCTCTCTCTTTCTCTTCTTTTTTTTTTTTTTTTTTTTTTTTTTTTTACACAGGGTTTGACAAGGTTAAGGATCCCTAGCTTTATTGACAGCTATATTACAGGTTAAGGATTCCTAATTTTATTGGCAAGCTAAGAGCTGTTACCTACATCAGCTCATTTGAAAGCATTTTTATTGTTATGAGACATACAAGTACGGGACAGGATGAAGTTGGAGCCATCTGTGGGCCAGCATTTTCATTTGATCAACTGACTTTATCTCGTTGACATCATTATGCTGTACGAATGTGTTCCATACTCGAGTCATCCTGGGTATGTATGGTCTCAGATGGAGTGATGTTCTGGAGAAGGGTACAGCCAGAGTGAAGTTGCTGCTTTCTGCCCGTCTTGTGGCATAAAAGCTTGTTTCACGCTGTCCTCGAAGTGGATCCAAGTGTGGTATTTTGACAATATTGGCCTTGTACATAACAGTAAGGCCACCCACATCCCTCCTATGTTGAAGGCTCTGCTGAAATGACAGATCTATCCAGGATGGGTCCAGGCGAGAGATGAGACGTCTTGCTCTGTTCTCTACTCTGTCAAGCAGTCGCAGATGAGAGGGGGGGCAGGCAAACCAAGAAAGTGGAGCATACTCAAGGTGTGAGCGTACTTGTGCCTCGTACAGGATCTTGCAACCCCTACTGTCAAGCAGATGCGAGATAGGGCGAAGTGCTGTAAGCTTCCTGGCTGCCTTGTTTGCAAGATTTACAACATGGTTCTTCATGGTTAGTTTGGAGTCAAATTTCACCCCAAGGATATCAACTTCTCCAGGTGCCAACATCCTCCCATTCATCCTTACTACTGCACCAGCATTACCATCATGGTGCCTAGAGACGATCATCATTTGCGTTTTCTCAGGTGCAAATGTTACTTGCCATCTATTTCCCCAAGCTGATATAGCTCTCAGCTGGTGATTGATGTAGCTTAGAGCAGCTGGCATTTCTTCTCTTGGATAAGTGAATGTCAGTGTACAGTCGTCTGCATATGCATGTGATTCTGGGATGAGATGAAGAAGGTCGTTGAAGTAGACATTCCATAACAGTGGACCCAGCACGCTTCCTTGTGGAACGCTTGCCCCAATAGGATGCCTTGCTGATTCCGTTCCATTGAGGACTACACTTAGAGATCTACCATGAAGGTAATCACTGAGGAGACATAGCGTAGAGCCTGCAATTCCCAGTGCTTGAAGTTTTGCTAAAAGGCCCTGGTGCCACACCCGGTCGAAAGCGCCAGTAATGTCTCTCTCTTTCTCTCTTTCTCTCTCTTTCTCTTTCTCTCTTTCTCTCCCTCTCTTTCTCTCTCTCTCTCTCTCTCTCTCTCTCTCTCTCTCTCTCTCTCTCTCTCTCTCTCTCTCTCTCTCTCTCTCTCTCTCTCTCTCTCTCTCTCTCTCTCTTGCGTGCATACTTGCGGGCACGGGATCTTGCGTGTTACCTCAACACTCACGCCTACTGCTGCTGCAGCTTGTAC